TTTTTTGAGACAGAGTGTCACTCTGTTGCCCGGGCTAGAGTGCCGTGGCATCAGCCTCGCTCACAGCAACCTCAAATTCCTCGGCTCAAGTGATCCTCCTGCCTCAGCCTCCCGAGTAGCTGGGACTACAGGCATGCACCACCATGCGCGGCTAATTTTTTCTATTTTTAATAGAGACGGGGTCTCGCTGTTGCTCAGGCTGGTCTCAAACTCCTGACCTCAAATGATCCTCCAACCTCAGCCTCCCAGAGTGCTAGGATTACAGGCGTGAGCCACTGCACCCATCCCATAAGGCCAAAATTAAAATATCCCTTAGGGTTTTGATAAAGAATAAATGAGTGGCAACTAGAATTTGTTTTTCCTCTGCTTAGTATTCACCTCATTAGTTAAAATTGCTGAATCTTTCTTTTTCGAAATATTATTTGAATTATGTTGATAGCATTTTTACACTGAGCAAAGACTGTAGAGATTTCCATTATAGTAAGTAAATATGTGAGTTTAGGTGTCACTCTTTAAAGGAGGAAAAGAAACAGACATTGGCCAGGCACACAGTGGCTCACGCCTGTAATCCCAGTGCTTTGGGAGGTTGAGGCAGGAGGATCACTTGAGGCTAGGAGTTTGAGACAAAAGAAAAATTAAAAATTATCTGGATGTCATAGCATTCACCTGTAGTCCCAGTTACTCTGGAGGCTGAGGCAGGAGGATCTCTTGAGCCCAGGAGTTCAAGACTGCAGTGAGCTATCATCACACCATTGCACTCCAGCCTAGGTGACAGAGTGAGACCCTGTTTCTCTAAAAAAAAAAAAAACTAACATTGAGTGTTCAGCCCTAGAGGCCAGGGGCCAGGATTCTGATCCTAACTTTTAAGGTGTGAGCTGGGTGACCTTAGTTAATTTACTTACCTCTCTGAACTTCAGTTTCTTCATCTGTAAAGTGGAAATTATAATAATAGCCACCTTGTAAAGTTGTTGTGAGATAAAAATAGATAATGTATTTAAAAAACACTGATGGCACCCAATAAGTCGTCAGTAAATGTTAGTTCCTGTTATAAAAGTATTTTAAATAGCTTCTCTGGGGTTAGCTCAAGTGATTGCAGAGGGTTGTGCCATCTGAATTAGAGTATGATAACCCAACACTGTCCACTGTCATAATGTGGAGAAAACAAACTTAATCTGTGTGTTGTTTTAGTTGAACATTTAGTATATGTGCTGCCAAAGCGAGCACTAGTTGAACATTTAAAGCATTTTTTTTGTATAAAATATCCCAGCCCCCTCTTGTGCTATGGAGCTGTGGAAACTACTCTTTGGCACTCTATCTTGATTTTCCATAGTGGTAGTAGCAATACAAGCCTTAACATTGGGTGTGGTTTTGGCTTCTCTGGGACTAGAAGGAAAAGGAAGCTAGCCATTGGCACTAGGCCCCCAGGGATTTAAGAATCCCCTCCTGTTCTGAGCTGGGTGCAGTGGTGTGTGCCTGCAATCCTAGTTACTGCAGAGACTGAGGTGGGAGGATTGCTTGAGCCCAGGAGTTTGAGGCCAGCCTGGGCAACATAGCAAGACCCCATCTCTAAAAAAAAAAAAAAAATCCTCCTTTTTTGTCCACCAGGTCTGGCCCCAGTGCTCTGAAGAAAAGATGTGCTCATCCTATTGGTCTCAGTCAGGTGTCTGAGGGTCAGACTTTTGGTTAATTACTAATCATGGGGACCTTTCAATGGTGATTTATAGTTCAGAGCTTTTCACACACAGTATTTCCATTTATTGTAGTAGTCGTCCACAAACTTTCAAGTAAGCATCTAATGATGTGCTTGTTAAAACTGCAGATTCCCATGCTCCAGCTGTACAGACTCTGATTCCTTAAATCTGAGCTGGGCCTAGGAATCTGCATTGTCATAATCACTTGAGAAAACATTACATTGCTTAGATCGGGGGAAAAGATAAAGGACTGACTAAAAAGACCTAGGGAATTAAAAAAGAAACAGGGACTGGACTGCATTTTTTTAGTATATCAAATGGTTCTATTTGTGTTTATATTTAATGATATTTTAGGTATCTTAACTCCTTTTTTATAGGATATCCTTGAATACAAACATTCTTTTACTACTGGTATGAAGCCATATCTAACCAGTCCCCCCAAATGTTCTTGGTTTTTTTCCCTACGATGTATCTGTCATAGTCATTCCTTCTGCTCTCGTTACACTGTCCAGACTGATACCTGGATGTGTCGGTTAGCTTTAGCTGGGTAATAACATACCACCCTAAAATGTAGTGGCTTGAAACAACAGCCCTTTATTTATCCTATGATTCTGTGGGTCACTGGTTTGGGGCTGGGCTCAGAAGGACAGCTCTTCTGCTCTTGCCTGAGTTCTTTCATGAATTGGTGGCTGGGCTGGAACAGGCTGTCATCATCCAGGAGACTACACTGGGCCCCTTCACAGGGGGACACAACAGGGCCAAATGCAGCCAAAGGGCAAGCCCAATGCACTTGTGCTTTTCAGATCTGTGCTACATCACCTTTGCTAACGTTAAAAAGATAATCCAGAGCCAGGCACATAGCCAACCAAGATCCAGTGGGGGAAGGAATAAATTAACCCTGCCTCTTTGGGAGGATCTGCCATGTCACATTGCAGGGGCATGTATGGAGGGAGAATAATTGCATCCATATTTACAATCTACTGAATTATATCTCCCACCTTGCAAGCTTTTCTGACTATGGTCTTGCTGTTCCAACCCATCCTGCTTCTGGCTGCCACATTCACATTCCTTAAACACTGCTTTCATCACACTACATTCTTATTCACAAACCCCAGCGGTATCTTCTTTTCCCCACCTTATCTGCTATAAATTCTTCTGCCTAGCTTTCAGCAGTCTCCTTAAGCTAGCCTGACTTAAAAGCAGAGGCTGTATGGTAAAGGAAAAAAGAACTAGCCACAGTCAGGAAAAGCTTTTGTGCTAGTTCCAGGTTGGCCACCAACAAACTTCATAACTTCTCCGGTCTTCTGCTTCTCCATCTATAAAATGAGAGAGTTTGGACTAAATGTGTGAGGTTCTTTTCAGACTTAATATTTTGGCTGAGGCTGGACACAGTGACTCACACCTGTAATGCCAGCACTTTGGAGGCCAAGACAGGTGGATCTCTTGAGCCCAGGAGTTAGAGATCATGATGCCTGGGCAACATAGTGAGACCCCCATCTCTACAAAAAGAAAAAAAAAGATTTTGGGTGAATGTACCTACACAAATTTATTTCCTGTTACTTCCTAAATAAACCCTCAGCTGTAGTAAGGCCAAGTTTCCTATTTTCTCATTGAGCATCCATGTTTATGTTGCCCTTTGTGCTGTCATCCCCATGTGTTCTCAGTCTGGCTTGCCCTTTGCTTTCTCCACTGTCGGTTTTAAATTCTGCCCATCCTGTGTCTTTAATTTCTGCCATACAAGTTGGCCCTTAATCACATTATCTTTGCTGTAATTCAGTGTTTCAACTTGTCAGTCTTTTTTTTTTTTTTTTTGAGACAGAGTCTGGCTCTGTTGCCTGGGCTAGAGTGCCGTGGCATCAGCCTAGCTCACAGCAACCTCAAACTCCTGGGCTCAAGCGATCCTCCTGCCTCAGCCTCCCGAGTAGCTGGGACTACAGGCATGCGCCACCATGCCCGGCTAATTTTTTCTATATATTTTTAGTTGTCCAATTAATTTCTTTCTATTTTTAGTAGAGACGGGGTCTCGCTCTTGCTCAGGCTGGTTTCGAACTCCTGAGCTCAAACAATCCGCCCGCCTCGGCCTCCCAGAGTGCTAGGATTACAGGCATGAGCCACCGCGCCCGGCCTAACTTGTCAGTCTTATTAACTAGATTGTAAACTCATCAAGGGAAGAGACCGTATTTTATACATCAACTGTAGATTCATCCTCCATTTCCATCCCAGATCATAGAAAACAGGAACTAACTGGAAACTTTTAAGACAAATGGGAGGATAAGAGTGCTTGGGCAGAGGTGGAGATGATGGTGGTGGTGGTGGTGGTGGTGGTGATGGTTGGAAAGGTGGATATTTTTGTAAAATGTACTCAAGGTAGCATGTACTTGCCAGGCTGGTAGCCTCTCGAATGTATCTACAAAATTGCTTTGCAGTCTTTCCTCCAGCCATCCCATGACACTGGTTCTCCTTTGCTTATTTCCTGCAGTTTTCATCCCTTTCTTCTGTGAGCTGTCACCATGACCCTGACAAAAGGTTCCTTCACATACTCCAGTGGGGAGGAATACCGTGGCGAGTGGAAGGAGGGTGAGAAGGAGCCCCGGAGGATATCCAGTGATGAGCACTTCATTTGCTGCAGGACAAATACATCAGAATATATAGCCAACTTTACGGATCTTCATTTCCAACTCCAGGATTTAATTCCAGATAGTGCCTTTCCTTTATTCTATTTTAGGATTAAATAAAGGCATTAGAAACTGCTTTTGTTATTCTAACCTCCAGGAATGAGTTATATCTTTCCATTTCTAAATTTGCAGTGTTTTAACATCCTTTCATCTTTTAGTGGTATTATTTAGGAATGTTTTAAGTAAATGTTAATGTACCCAGCAGAGTAAAATGAATTAAGTGCCTGTAAATTAGAGAGCACAGAATTCATTGCAGTGACTTGGTTTCCAGTGAATCATAAGGAGTTATAGAAGATCTGCAAATTAGGGCAGACACTCAAGAGCAAATGACATTCATTGCCTTGAATTTCCCGTGACAGCTCGTTATGTTTGGAAGTATCTGTTCATGGGAATAGTAAAATTCTTTGTAGCGTGAGACTATCCAGGAAACAATTTAATGTTGTTCAGTTTGGAAACACAGTCTAGCGACTTTAAAGTCTCATGGGTCCAGTCTTAGCAAGCCAAGAACTGCTCTAAGGAAACTGGAGTCTTCACGCTTACCTAGGTGAAGGGCGGTTCATGCTATTACCAGACACGTGCCTCATTCTTTTCACACTAGATCCCTGCCCCTGATAAATTCTTGAGCTTTGAGAAATTGTACAGGTGTGATGTGACCTTGTTTCCTTCAATCCCAGGCCTTTCCTCCTGCCTCCCAAATACCTGCTGCCCCTTTTAATATGGGCTGTGAGAGGAGAGACTTCCTGCTGGGCAGTCTCTATCCACCAAAAGAACCCCTCACACTCTGTTTGAAGGGCATGATTGCTCCCCCAGCCTCTCGTTCTGTCTTCTGGTCAGTTCAGTGAGTAAGCACAACCCTATTGACGTAACAAAGCTCAAACTAATGTTGCTGGTCAGGCTGTTAGTAACTTCACGGTGCCAATGGGTACTTTTATTTTTTCTCAAGCAACATAGGTAAATGTCGAGGGCTCTGAGTTAGGCTGCTTGCTGCATTTGCATTCTTGCTCTACCACTTAGGGCTCAGTGATCTTAAGTTATTTAGCTTCTCCTTGCCTCAATTTCCCCATCTGTAAAATGGAAATAAAAATAGTACTGTGGCTGGGCGCAGTGGCTCACACCTGTAATCCTAGCACTCTGGGAGGCCGAGGCAGGAGGATTGCTCGAGCTCAGGGGTTCAAGACCAGCCTGAGCAAGAATGAGACCCCATCTCTACTAAAAATAGAAAAATTAGCCTGGCATGGTGGCACACACCTGTAGTCCCAGCTACTCAGGAGGCTGAGGCAGGAGGATCGCTTGAGCCCAAGAGTTTGGGGTTGCTTTAAGCTAGGCTAACGCCACAGCACTCTAGCCCGGGCAACAGAGCGAGACTCTGTCTCAAAAAAAAAACCAAAAAAAACCCCAAAAAATACTATCGTACCTACCTCATAAAGTTATGAGGATGAAATAAGATAATAAATACAAAATGCTTAGAGGAATGGCTGGCATATAGTAAAGGTACTATAGACATTAGCTGTTGTTATTTTTAAGTGCTCTCTTACCATTCATACTTGGAGTGACCTGCTTCAAATTGGATGGTTGTGACATAAGATGGGAAGGCCCTGGGAGCTGCTTCTCTTCTCTGCTTTGTGGATAGGGTGACGGAAGGTAAGGGATGCTAGATGAGTGAGAAGGGACCCTGAAGCTGCCCCATTCCTACCTGACACCTGTCCTCCTCTTTGCTCAGGGCGCAGACATGGTTTTGGTCAACTGATGTTTGCAGATGGTGGCACCTACCTGGGTCATTTTGAGAATGGACTCTTTAATGGCTTTGGGGTACTGACCTTCTCAGATGGCTCAAGGTGGGTATTAGGTCATTCTTTTCTCAGCTTTAAATGGGGGAGGCTCTGATATAAAAGCAGGGCATTGGTAAATAAATGGTCAACCCTGAGCTTGTCCCAGGCCCTACGGAACACAGGCAAGGAGTAAGCAGTTCTTTTATTGGTTATTTTTAAAATAGATCTAAAATTTGAAATGTCAAGGAGGCAAATGACCTTCCACCCTACCTCCATTCACTTTCTATCTTCTTTCCTTGAGATGAGGGCCTCATATCATACATACTCTCTGACCCTTCTCTGCTGGTTGGGAATGGGTGGGTGGAGCTATGAGACAAGCAGAATCAGCTTTGCTTCTGGATATTAGTAAATAACACATATTGGCAGCTGCTTGACTCAGTTAACCTGAACAATTAACTTCCCACTAAAGCCTAACTTCTTGGTGTTTCTGCAGGTATGAGGGGGAGTTTGCCCAGGGCAAGTTTAATGGCGTTGGAATCTTCATTCGACATGACAACATGACCTTTGAGGGGGAATTTAAAAATGGCAGAGTAGATGGTTTTGGTAAGTTGCAGCCCAGCAGAATGGGTGACTTAGGTGAGCACAATATAGGTGGAAATATACCTTTTTAGTTTTAATTCTTCTGTGGATGTCCGGCAATCGATAGTGATCTTGCCCTAATGCCTATCCAGTGAACTCACGAATAGAGTCCTCCCGAACAGAGCTGTGGGTTTTTCTTGGCCTTTGCTTATCAAGCTGATCTCTGAGATGTTGAATGCCATTGTCACTCCTGTATTTTCTCTGTCCTCAAAGGCCTGCTGACTTTCCCTGACGGCTCTCATGGAATACCTCGCAATGAAGGTCTTTTTGAGAACAACAAGCTGCTGCGGCGTGAGAAGTGCTCTGCGGTTGTCCAGCGGGCCCAGAGTGCCTCCAAGTCAGCCAGAAATCTCACTGCCTGACAGGGCACTGGGCGCCAGCTGACAAGTATTGAGTAAAGCCGATGCTCCTGTTGTTCACTCGAGGTAAACAAATGAACCAGATCTGAGATGAGATGACAGTGACCGTGGAGCAGAAGCCTGTGATGCGCTCTACCACCTGCCGATCGGGGATTTGATCATGGAAAAGTGCTGAGGATTCTGGCCCATGGACCCTGCAGCAGTTGTTAGCACTTCTGTCTTTCCCTGACCCTGTGTGCTAGAGGACAGATGAGCTGCCTTTTCTTACTTGTTGATACTCTCTGTTCCTAAGACCTTGGGTTACGCAGTGTCTTCTGTAGCCTTCTGCTTCCTTGGGATAGGCGGAGTCTGCTGTGGCCTTCTGTTATACTTGCTTTTCTGCCACGTGATACAGAGTCTTCATTCTGCCTACATTTGGGGCAGGTGATCCTAGCCCCAACTTAGGGCCAGCGCTTGTGCTACCCTGGAGAAATCAGGAAAAATATAAGGGTGGCTTAGACGGTATAGCAGCCCTGTGAAAGTCAAGGCCAGAGCTTGTCTGTGCCCCTCTTTCACTGCTGCTTGGAATCATGGCTCTAGGCTTCCACTTTGTCATTTGTCTCTTCTTACTGCCCCTGGGAAGAATTTAGTAAAAGTGCTATTTCCTTCTCCCTTGACTTTACAAGCTGTCTTCCTTCACTGAGTTATAGCAGATAATCCCTGTTTGTGCCTCTCTCCTTCCTTAGATATGGGACAGGATCCCTTTATGGGCTAGGCAAGAAAGAAGGTGATGTAAACATCAATCTTATAACTTGTATTCAGACTTACTCCAGGGCAAAGGGCAGAATATTTGGGCCACTTCAGGCCCTACCATCGAGTGAACTGAATCTATAAAGGTGGCCTGGGCTGACACAGTTCCTTCTCAGTGGACCAGCAGATCAGACTCACCTGGGGTTATGGTAGAATTGGACCCTCCCTAGGACTGCGGGGAACCAAAAGAGCATTTGGCTATTTGCATTTGGTTCACTGTAACTTGTCTAGCCTTGGCTGTCAGGCCTGGGATGAGACCTTGACTGATAGGATCCCTGCATAGTTCATCACAGAGGCCCCCTGTTACCCTGTGACCCAAACATGCCCCCCCAGGCACCCGTCCTCACACTTGATGTCTCCTCAACAGCGGATTGTGGTGGAAATCATAGCCATGTGCCTCTATTTATTCTCTGAATTGTACTGTAGAAACAAGTGTTTATGAAGAATAAACAAATCAGCAGAACTGCCTATGCCTAGTTTTCCTGACTTTCTGGCCCTGCATCCTCATGAATATCAACCCATTCGCTGCTTCTAAAAGTAAATCAGGAATCAGGGGTTTGGAACTGACACTGCACACTACTACAAAATATCATCTAATTTTCAAAACCCCTGCAGAGTAGGAGGTATGAACTTTTTTGTATCAGAGAAGCTCAGGTTGCCCAAACTAGTAAGGGCCCTAGAGCTGGGTGGGATTTGTATCCCATCTTTCTAATTCCAACTCCCATTGCACTGGGCTCTTCTCGCTCTGAGACCTGTTATTGCCAGATGTCATGGGTTACCTATGGAAAGTCAGCTCCTGCCTGGGTTTCCCTTTCTTCGCACTGAATAGAGCAGTGGAACACTCACCTTTTATACACATGATCTTATTCAGTCCTCACCAGAGCCCTGGGAGGAAGGTGCTGTTTCCAGCCCTGTGTTACAGATGAGGCCCAGGGAAGTTAAGTAGTTCCCTCAAGGTCCCGTAGGCTCTAAGGGGCAGATCTCAGAACTTAAATCCAGACCTGTTTAAGCCAAGAAACTGAGCTCTTAACCAGTACACTAGCCTGCCTCCCTGGCCCTAACTTTTCCCCTCAGCCCTAAACCTGATTCTCCTCTGAGTCCAGCTCCTCTGAGAGTTGCCTATGAGAGGACACAGGGGCAAAGCCCCAAGTTCGTGCCATCCAGATGCCTGGTTCTGGTTGAAGATTGAGATCTTTTATATTCTCTCCACTGGCCTCTGCCCCAAACAAGGATCTATTTACCTCTCTGACCTTACACTTTCTTTATAATGAGTAATTTGAAAAAAATATATCTCAGTTTTTCTGCCATTAGTCAGATATTACCACTGAAAAGGGTTAAACATTTTGGTTTGATTAAAGTGCCAAGTGTTTCTAAATAACTCTTTGTGTGTATGTGTGTGTGAGAGAGAGAGAAAGACAAGGTCTCGCTCTGTCACCGGGCTAGAGTGCAGTGGCATCATCATAGCTCACAGCAACCTCAAACTCCTGGGCTTGAGTGATCCTCCTGCCTCAGGCTCCCAAGTAAGTAGCTGGGACTATGCATGCGCCACCATGCCTGGCTAATAAATACCTCAATTGCTCTCTTTTGCTTCTTACCCTTTCCCCAGGCCGCACTAATCTAATACCTATTTGCTGAGTATTGTTAGGGCCTCTCTCAGAGCTGGGAAAAGGCAGACCATGAGAGCTCAATTGCCTCTAGGAAGGTTCTTGACATCTGGCCAGGAAACCTAAGATCTGCATAGCAGTGGAGTGTCCATCTGTACATAGCCACACTAGTTTTACTTATTAAACTTTATTGTAGTAACAAAGTGATGATTATTTTATTTACTTATTTATTTTTTACACAGGCCTATGGTATAGAAGGAAAAGTGTTTATATCTAATAATAAAAGATATAAAAGCTGAGTGCCTACAGGCAAGAGGGTAGCTTCGTCTCAGGCCAAGTCCCCTTCGCTAGTGTTTCAGACCTGGGTTGGCCAGAATAGTTGAGAATGTAACATTTAGCCACCAGGTGTCATTATTTACCAATCTGACAAGCCACTGGGCTGTCTATGTACTCACGGTTAGAATCAAGCCTATAGATACCAATACGGGATGAATGAAAGTAGATTCAGAAAGGGCACTGTGGCTGGAATGCAGCTGGTGGGGGGGGGGCAGCTTTCAAAGACCATTGACACTTTCCTCATCAGATTTCCTAACCTGTTGCTTTCCCTGGAAGGAGTCAGAACTTGAGTTCTTAGGCACAGCCCTGGCTTCCAGCTGCATTGTGCTAGACTCAGGTTTGTAGCCCCAGGTCTAAGTAATCACCCCTCAGTAAAACAAAGTCCCTTACTGTGCCACTTGCACCTCTGCCCTTCCCCTCTGGCTCCTGCTTCATGTGCCTCGGGGCATAGGAGAGCATCCACAGTGGAAAAGCAGGTAAGAAATTGCTCCTTCCCAGGGTAAAGACTGGGAAGACTGGGGCTACAAACAGAGTTTAGGATACAAAGTGAGCAGTCATGGGGCTGTGAGAACAGGAGCTGTGCATGGGCTTGCCTCGTAGAAGGCTACCTGGAGGGGGGAAGTAGGGAGCCTCTACCCCAATCCCTCGCGCTCCTCTTTAGGCTGCAGGTGCAAGGCGGGAGGCTGAGATGGGCCCAGGCCCGCATAGACCCTGCTTGCCCTCAGAGCCAGCCATTGCTGGTGAAATCCACGCGCAGTGCCTCCTCCTCCGTGGGCCTCAGCTCCTGCAGTGGGGACCGGCAGGGGCCTCCGTAGTAGCCAAACCAGTCCATCGTTTTCTTCAGCCCTGGGATCCCGAAGCGCCGGGTCACCTGAGAAGCGGGGTGTGTTAGCCGGGGAAATCCCTTGCACACACCCAGAAAGTTGGAGTTCCCACCCTTCTCCCCCAGTGAAGTAGCTTCCAAATCCATGGCACTCAGGGTAGACTGGGGATCCAGATTTAGAAAAGCAGGTCAGTAACGGCAAAATGCAAAAATGTCAGATTAAGAAAGGAAAGTGCCTCCTTTGGTTTTGGGAAAAAAATCCACCCCAGCAGGGAGGAGAATGGCGTTCAGTCCTTGAGCTGGGATGGGAGAAAGCAGCAAGGCTGTGGGGTCTGGGCACTAAAGCTTCACCGGTCTGCAGCCCAGCTCCCTGGAAATTCTAAATGCTCCCACAGAAAAAACAACGTGTTGTGGCCCAAAGAAGTTTTGTTGTGTAATCGTGTATCATTTACTTATTATCTCTGAGCAAGTTCTCTTGTCTGAAAAATGAGGGGGCTGAACAACATGATCTCTAAAGGCTTTTCTGTTATAATGGGGGACCTAAAGCTATTGTCGTAATTTAAAATCATGTATAGAATTTTACAGGATAAATGAAGCATCAAGTTTCTTTGCTTTTGGTATAGCAGCTGGTTATTTCATGCTGATCAGAAGTGTTAGATGAATCTTTGACTACTTAAAAACTAGGAAAGTAATCCTTACTTAACACGGTTTTATTTGGAGGGCAGCTAAAACCTTAGAAGTGTGGGCTTCATGAAGGGTGAAAATAATTAGAGGTTGTTAGGAGTAAAAAGGCCAGGACCCATTGATGAAAGATTGATTAATAACTACTCACAGCTAGAGGACAGTAGGCTTTAGCAAGTATGGAATTTTTTCTTGGAATGCATGGTAAGCCACCCTCCTCCAGTCCCGGCCCCCTGTGATGTTGCAGCCTGGCCTTTTTACCTACAACCTGAGTAGGTGGGAAGAGGGGAGAGGACGGAAACAAGAAGTACCTAGAGAAAAGCTTGCTCCTACCATGAGTTTCTGAAGATTCTGGCATGCCCCCTGTTCAGACCCTGAGAAAAGGTTGAATACTTTAGAGGTAAAGACCGCAGAAAGTCCTAAATATAGCTGGGGGCAAGAGGCAGGGTGGTGGCAAGGGGGAGAAAGGACATTGTGTTCAACCAGGGCAGGGCAATAGAGTGACATCAAGCTACCCCTGGGGTGTGTGAGTGTACAGCCCAGGCAGCAGAAAGGTGTCCCAGGCATTCCTGAGTGTGTGCCCAGAGCTGGCACAGGAGAGGGCACGGAATGAAGGGTGGATGGGGGAAGATGGGATGACACACACACAGAGCTAGGATGGCAGCTAGGCATCCTCTCCTGCCCAGGGGCAGCCCGAGCTGCTTTGTCTGTGAAACACCTACCCCACAGAGACGCCACAAGGGCCAGATGAGAAAAACACCACTAATATTAGACCAGTCCCCCGGGAACCCTGAAAGCTCCTCCTTTTCCTGTCCCTGTGGCATGCAGGTTCTGGACCTTCTTTCACAGGTGGGGATGGGAGTAGGAAAGCAGAGGTCCCAGCGGGATGTTCAATATGCACTGGACAGCCTGTCCCCTGGTGGGCTCAGATGAAAGACCCTCATTTCTGCAAGTTCTTATAGCCTATTGACAGAGTATCCAATCCCTGGAGGACCTTCACATCCAGGGAGACTCATGCTGTCCTTTCTGTAAGTCTGCATTAGTCTGCCCTTTGAGGTCAGTATACAAACTGTGAGAGAGATCTAGAGCCCACCTACCACTTTACCCAAACAAAACATTATTGTGGAATGCCTAGCTCACCCTGGGATTATGGCGAGGCTAATGAGGCACTTACCTCAGATGCAAACTCACAGGAATGCCAAAAAATTCAATAATCAAGACAAAATTTCAATGCATTTAATGCTTTTTTTTTCTTTTTTTTTTTGAGACAGGGTCTTACTCTGTTACCCAGGCTAGAGTGCAGTGGTGTCATCATAGCTCACTGCAGCCTCCAACTCCTGGGCTCAATGATCCTCCTGTCTCAGCCTCCTGAGTAGCTGGGACTACAGGTGC